ACTGTCCCACACACTCCCATGCAACCCATATCTGAGGGTTCAGGTCCTCAGCTAGGATGTCTGCACACAGTCTTGAGATAGCAAGGAGCACAGTAATGTGAAGTTAGACTGGTGGAAACCATAGCTAACCCTCATGTAGCCAGGACATTTGCAGAATCATACTTGAAATCTGTTGTTGCTTCTTATTTAGGAAGACCATCTTCTAGACATGCAGCTGCACTTCATCTGGGTATGTTCACACCAGGAACATAACAGAAGATGCCCAGAAGCTTTAGTTTCTGAGTTAAATGACCAAGGCATTTCACAGTCTAAAAATGTACCTTTGGTGTTCGGATTATCTGCATTCAAACAGAAAAAATCACAGACTTCGAGCAGAGTCCTTGTGAGCTGTGCTAATGATTTACAAGCACAGGAGTGTGTTGTCATGTACACCAAGTGTCTGGCATTTGGCCACCCTCTTCCTCCCTCTTTTCCTAATTGCTGTATTACCAGACTGTTGACCACGTTTGAAAGGTTGGAGATGTGAAGCTAAGCGTGGCAGAGAGGCTGAAAAAGTGGATCAAAATAACACAGGCTGTATAAAAATTTTCTCATCACCTAGAAAGAGCTAATTTTTATCATCTTTTGCATGGGCTGGAGCAAATATCTATACACACATCACACACACACACGTTGCAGCCTATGAAGATTTTGCTTTTTTAGATTGCTAGAGCAGCTATTTGGCAAGTCGTGCAGTGGCAGACGAGTCCTGCTGCTGCTACCCGTGGTCCATGTGCTTGGCAGGGGGAGCAGGAAAATGTACAGTGTGTGTAGGCTGCCCTGATCTGAGCCTGAGCATATCTGAAATAGCCTGGCATGTGGCTGCTTCAGAGAAGGGCAGGTTCAGGGCTTAGACTCGACACTGTGATGTTGAAACACAGCAGGGTTAGCATGTAAATTCTGAGCTAGGTGCAATGGTATGAATATATCCTGACTCTGTCAGTGACTATGCCTTCAGGATGGTTGTTCTTGCTACCTGCCCACCCAAGTGATGTTTTGCTCCAGCAGTCAAAGGGTGTGGGACCCAAACAACTTTATGAATGTTGTTGCATGGTGCTATCTGGTCCTAGAGATAAGATTTGGCATTTGTCTGTGGAAAAGCAGGAGGTTACACTGAGGCTTGCACAGAAACCATGTCTAAACAGGACATTTCCTGAACTAGAAGTTGTTGGATGCTTTGAAAGCAGTGGAGGGTGGGAAGGCATATGACTCAGGCTGTCCTTTTTCTAATATTCGTCCTTATGTCTACTGTTAGAGGAGGACTCATGGGCTGGATAGAGTTTTTATTTCAAAGAGAAGACTATAGGAGAGGTCTACAAACCATAACTGATCCAGAGATTATGAATAGGGATGATCACTCATTCTCCTTCCTAATGCAAAGATTACCAATGCCTAATGAGCTTAGCAGATGGCAGGTTCAAAATGAGTGAAAGGAGATAGTTCTTTACCTGAAAGATAATTAAATTGTGGAACTCGTTGCCTCAGGATGGCAGAGTGGGAAAAACATAAATATGTTAGAAGAAAAGCACCTGTTGGATGTTATTAAACACTACAAGTGCTCTGCTGGATCAGCAAGCTCCTGAAAATTTAATAACTGGGACAAGGAAGACTGCACTAGAAATACTACAACAGTATCACTATCTGGTCTATCTCTGTAAGAATCCACCACTGATCTATGCTTGTGGTAGGATCCTGGGCTAGATCAGCTTCCACTCTGACGTGGTGCAGCAGTCTTAATATTACATTATCATCGGGAGACGGTGGGGTTGGCAGGACCCGAGTGGAGATGAAGAACACGGTGGGTTTGCTGAGCTGTCCATGCAAATCTTCAGCACTCACCTCTCTCAGTCAAACCCATCCACATGGCGCTGACTTCAGAAAGCAGAGAGGTTTCATGCTCTTTGGGATGAGACACAGAGGCATTTACTGCCTTGGGCTTTTCATTACATCTCTGGCTGATCTCTCCTGGCTTTGTTCAACATTGTTATCAAAAACTTCCAAACCCCAGCTGGGGCAGCCTTAGGGCTTTGTCTAAAGTGTCTTTTCTCCCCAGATTGCTTCTGCCTGTGTTTCTGTATGTATTTCCCTCGCACGTGGAGTGGAATAAAAAGCTGACTTGAGACCTACTCATTTTATGCCTGAATTACTTCGATTTTTTTCTGCCTGAGGCTCCTCATTCTTTTCCACTGCGTTGCTGCTGGTCTGCTGGGACTCTCTCATTGCCCATTAAAGTTTCTCTTGTCTTCCTAAACTGATACCTTTCTCCATGAGCTCAGATATTTGCCTAAACATGGACCTTTATGCAGCTAATGGCTCTTAAATCTTACATAGTTTGGTTAGGCAAATGCTTGAGCACTAAATCAGTTTCAAAATGGCTCAGATTTTATTTCAAGCTTTTTTTTTTTTTCTTTTCCCAGATGCCAAATGCACTGATTCCTATCTGATTAAAAAAGCCCCACAGAGTATTTTCAGCATGATTTAGCGACTCATCTACAAGGATCTCGACTGGCTTAACTAAATGGCTGGTGCTCACTCGTGTGGAAAAGGCCTTGGTGTCTTTGGATGCACGTTATTTAGGTTAAATAACTTTAACACAATTTAATCTTGGAGACTTAAAAAGCAAAAGTTTATGCTGTCTCACAGCTTAAGACAATAACTATTGGAAAAATCATGCAAGCTATCTTACTATTTTTTGAGCAAAAATTTTTGATTCAGAGAAGCTATCTTGTTTAGCTTTATATGTTTAAATATTTTTGGATGCAAGCTTTCAGAGTTGTTTCTGGGAACAAAGCACTTTGAAACACAACTACATCTTAAAATGAAACTATAAGGGGAAAAAAAGATTATCAGATAAGCTTTGAGTAAAACAAATTCAATTCTAAGTGAAAGAAAACATTGATTTTTGAGAGAAATTAATAACTTCGCTTAATTCTTTGCTTAAGAGATGTCTGGGGGTTGGATCATCCAGAATCATATTCTTTCCCCTGCTCTTTTTCTTCTGGAAGAGCTATCAAGCCAGAAAAAACAGTGTTCGTCAGACTTCATTTAGGAGGCTTAAACACTCTTTCATAGCTCTTCTGCAGGATGCTTTTGAGAAGTGCTAGAAATATCATCACCAGAATAGGGATGTTAAGTGGAATTAAACAAGATTATGAAGTTTGAAGTCAGTTTCAGAACCCATAATACAGAAAATAAGTAAAACCATGCCACTATGACTGTAGGCATATAAATATACTGCAGCAGAACAAACCAGACTCTTTTGTTACATCCTAAATATGAACCAGGCTGTCTTGGGGCATTCACATCCTGATGAGGCAGCCTGAATTAGCAGCTGGTTAGTTTTAATCCAGACAGCTCTGTCAAAAGGGCACCGTTAGCTCTGTGGCAGGGAAGGAGCTGAGGGAGCCTGGGGAGGAAATTGGACTCTGCAGCAAATTCATGTCCCTGTGACAGGCCAGAGCCAGAGACCAGCTGCTGCTAAAATGTTGTGACAGAGGAGACAGTGGCCTAAAGTGTTTTCTAGGAGGAAAGGGGTTGTTTTTTGTTAAGCAGGTCCTTAGATGGGCAGTCAGACTGTGCCCTGGAGATGTGGTGCATGGGGACTTATTGCATGGGCTTAGAAGCAGAAGCATGACAAGAAGTTGCAACCAAGCTGGGGAACAGAGACGTGTACCAAGTGAACACAGAATCATAGAATGGTTAGAGCTGGAAGGGACCTTAAAGATCATCTAGTTCCAACCCCCTCCAGACACCTCACACTAGAGCAGGCTGCTCAAGGCCATCCAGCCTGGTCTTGAACACTTCCAGGGACTGGGCATCCACCACTTCTCTGGGCAATATGTTCTAGTGTCTCGCCACTCTCAGAGTAAAGAATTTCTTCCTAAAATCTAGTCTAAATCTCCCCTCTTTCAGTTTAAAACTGTTTTCCCTTGTCCTATCACTACAGTCCCTGATAAAGAGTCCCTCCCCATCTTTCCTATAGGCCCCTTCAGGTGCTGTAAGGTCTACCTGAAGAACAGACACCACTAAAGTCTCAGAGACACCACTAAAGTTTCCCTGAGAAACAGCATCTGTCTTTGGTAGACCGGTGGAGGACAGGTTGGCCCGCACCCTAGGCAGTGCAGTGAGGCTGGATTTTGTGTTCATCCTGGGCAAGAAAATATGACTTTAGAGATGCACAGCAGCCTCTGAGCAGCGGGTGCTAGGGACTGAATGTGGCTGCAAAGCATGCAATGCTCTGCCTTTAGCAGACAGTGTGGTCCTGTCACGGACTCTGTGTGTCTCAGGCAGCCTTGCACAAACCTAACATCAAAATACAGCCACAGGTAGCAAACTGTGGGAAATAGATGATAGAGAGATAGAGAGAGAGATAGAGAGATAGATAGAAAGCAAGCAAGAAAGCAAGCTGTTAACCATCTTAACAGAATGACTCACTACTCTCCAAAGAGTTCCTGGGTGGGCTATCAGGTGAAGGAGGGCTCCAGCTAAACCTTTAGGATCTCTCCTGACTAGGTCCTCCTTCAAATCTCTTTACTCTCTGATCTTTAAGCGTTTCCATTGGAGACCCATACAACAGCTACAACAACCTCCCCTGCTCCTATGTGCAATTCTGGCTCCAGCTGTGAGGACATGAGCTTGGAGAACATCTAGACACATTGCTGTTCCTGTACTCAACCTCTCAGACCCTTCGGACATTCTCAGTGGGCTTTAACCAGTTTTCCCACTGTGAATCACCAGTGTCTCTTGGGCATCTGTAGAAAAAGCAGGTATAAAAAGATACAGGAGAAAAATATCTATTAAAAGAGGGGAAGTGAGATCACAAATATGTTCACAGGAGAAATCTTGATTACTAAGCCAAACCATACCAGCAGTCAGCCAAGACATCCAACAGCCAAATCACAGAGTCACCATACTTCATAACATTGCAAGAGATGGGACTACCACCACTCAGATACTCTTACCTGATGAAGAAGAATCTGTAGTGGTGGAAGGGCCCTTTCCTGAGCCTCTGAACAATCTGTCTTCGACAAGAGAACCCAGATAGGAGATCCTCAAACAACTGATCCCATGGAGTCAACAAATGGGGTCAACAACATGGAGTTTACAAATGGGTAAGGGTTTGTGGGGCTGCAAAGAAAGGGTAATGCAACAAGGTTGGTCAAGAGCAAAGAGGACTTCAGAAAGACAAGTCCCACCACCACATAAAAGTAAAGAGGCATTTTTAAGGCAAAGTGACCAAAGAATCTACACTGAAATAAGAAAACCAGAGGGTTTGTTTTTTAAAAAAAAAGGATATGTCATCTAGTATATTTTTTCAAGCTTGCTGGACATCATACCGAAGCACTGTAAAGCTGTCAGAGAAATTAAATACTTTTTTCTGTTGTCAACCAAAGCGTGCTTTTATGGAGTCAATTAGCCACAAATTATGAACACACATCACTTGTCTGAGAATAAATTACAGTACAACCCAATAAACATAACTGTCTTTGCTCACTGGTCAATGCCCTGATGAGGAGGCCGTTGGACTTTCCTATCCAACCATAAAGGAAACTTCATGTTCATTTGTGTTTCGTTCTGTGAGCGTGCCTCTTTCAAGTGCTGCAGTGCTACAGTGTGAGGGGAAATGGGGTCATTGGTATTACTGCTCTGACGTGCAAACCTGGACATGAGCTCAGTGTGTAAAATGCAATTACATCGGTGGAAAGAGTTCATATAAGCTGGGATGGCATGAGTGCTTGGTTCTATAACGGAGCCTATAGCTGCTGTCATATTTGATAGAGAAGTACAGCCATCGTTATCTTTACATAGTATATGCTGTGCCCTCCATAGACCTTAGAGCCCTTTTGGAAGGTGGAGAGCCACAGTCTTATCAAGTTTTTAGGGGGTTTTTGTTGTTGTTTAGTTGGAAGGGTTGTTTTTTTCTTTTTTTTCTTTTCTTTTTTTTTTTTAAACAGGGGGAAACTGAGGCACAGAAAGGTGGTTTGACTTGCCCACAGTCGGTGGTAGACCTTGAACCCCCAAGTCTTGCTCATTACTTCTCAGCTCCCACCTAGGACATGGTGAGAAGGAAGGTCTGCCCACTTGTTCCCAAGGCGAGGAGAACCGCAGCTCCTCCTGGGGTGAGGGAAAGGGGTGTCACTCTCAGTGGTGATGTCTGGCAGGGGGACAATGGCACGCATGGTTTCTGCCAGCCCTGAGAGGCAAGAGAAGCAAGGAACCTGAAATGGAGAGGCGGGAGTTCGTTGGTCAGGCACTGAGCGGCTCTACAGGATGCATTCGTGCCTCTCTGTGGCTTTCAGAGCCTCGTGCATGCTGGCAGCAGAGAGCCTCCTGTTGATGTTCCTGTACCTGCACCTCAGGAGGTTCCAGAAAGTAGTCCTCAGGTCTCGGTTAAAGAAAGCATAAATCAAGGGGTTGATGAGGGAGTTGGTGTATCCCAGCCAGAGCAGAGTCCTCTCCAGCCGCAGGGGCATGCAGCTGCAGTGGATGCCGCAGATGAAAGGCCGAGCCGTTGACATTAGGAAGAACGGAAGCCAGCAAAACGTGAATGCCCCCACAATAATGCCAAGGGTCCTAGCTGCTTTCTGCTCCCGTTTGAAAATGGAAATATTCTTTCGGTCTTGCCGGAGCAGTTTGGAGAGCGTAGCACATTCCTCCACTGCTTTAGTACGCTTGGAGCTGTGGTGGCTCCGGCTGGAGGACTCCAGGCAGTAGACACCCTCCTCTTCGTAGTGCTTGGGTAAATTCATGAAGCGGTGCTTCTCGGCGCTGACCTTGGCGGCTTTGTAGATCCGGATGTACATGACGAGCATGACCGCCATGGGGATGTAGAAGGCAACCCCCGTGGAGTAGACTGTGTACCCAAAGTCCTGGCTGATGAGACAAACTCTTTCCACGGTGACATTCTTGGCCCAGCCAAAAAGAGGAGGAAGGGTGATGGAGGCAGACAGAAGCCAAACAATGAAGACCATTTTGGCCATCAGCTTCCCATTTTGTCTCACGGGGTACGTCAGTGGCCGAGTAATCCCCAGATACCTGGAAAAAAAAGAGAGTTGCAAAGGATTAGGAGGGTGGCAAGGTATGAATGTTGTTGGGTGGCGTTCATTCCTAAACAGTTGTTAACGCTCCATCTCTGGAGAGTTTCAGCCCTGGAATGGGGACACAAGAAATGAATTCCCAAAATGAAAATGTTCCTAGAGACACGCAGCTGCACTGTCTTCTGTGAAATGCATTCCACACCCCTTTAGCTGTCTTGCCTAAACACCCTGTTTCCACTATTCCCTGCTGCTTTCTTGCAACCACCCCATTCATCATGTCATTTAACAGCTGAGTGCAGCCTGAGCTCCACATGGTTTCCTTGGGAATAAAAATGATTAAAAAAGCTGAGTTTTACACCACAACTAGTTTGTACAGAGAACACGCAACAACTTCCAACCATGGCATGTAACTCAATCCAGACTGTCACCCTCCCAGGGAAACTTCCAGGAGGGGGATGAGTGGTCTGCAGAGTAATATTTGTGCCAGGATACATCAGGACTGACTCCAGATGAAATGAATAGACTCATATCAGTGTTTAATGGAAAATAGGAAGGACAACATCCTTCTTTTATCTGTCCAGGCAACTTGGGTAAAAATACAACCTGCAGCAGAAACGTTCCTGAGGCAGTGTGCAAGAAAGGAGCAATCTGCCTTTGGGACAGCTTAAGGGTATGTCTGGATGGGCACAGAAAGCTAAGCTAGTGATCAGGTGATGGACTGTGGTGCAAGACTGATGGCTGTTGACTCACACCTTCTTTCAGCTGATAGACTGTGTGCTTGTGTCTTGCAGCACTAGCGCCCATGGGAGACACCACTGTCAGCAGTACACCCTATCACTCCCCTCTCCATCCAGACTGAAATAATGGGACAAACCTACAGGTTCCTGAAACATCTACAGGAGACAGCCTCTGGAAACCAAGAGAGGAGTGAGTGCCAGTTGCAAACATCTGTAGCAGTCTGCTCCCTTGCATGGCCCATAGGTTCTGTAGTGATGGTGTCCAGCCCTCCCTGAAGAGTAAAATGAGAGGAGCTCCAAGTAGAAGATACCAAAAGCATGTGGTGCCCAAAGATTCACAAGTCCTGATGCCTGGAGTTAGGGGTTACCTTGTTAGCTTGACCGAAAGGAGCTGGAGACTGCATCACCCATCATTTCCTGGTTAGACTACAGGGTGTGATTTTGAACGATCTGCAGCCTTGATTGAGAGTTTTCATGTGATTAACAAATTTTGTCAAGTGTTAGTTAGCAATTGTAAACTAATAAATCCATAAGGAGTTGGCCACTGTCAGCCAGTGTTCCCACTGAAAAACATCTACCTGCTCTCTAGTCCCAATCAGTCCAGCAAAAATCTCTAGCTGTCATATAGATTTTAATTCAAACCTGTCTGCCCTCAGGATTCTGTGGGCATTTTTAGGCAGGAACACATCACCTCTTAGTTGTCGTGGATAAGCAGTGTCCAGTCCAAAGGAGCAGCGAGAACAGGAGCTGTATGGATACTTTTTGCTGAGAGCTGTTCAAGGGAAGAGCAGGCTTTTCTGCCAAAAGGAAAAATTCCGCAGAGAATTTTACCTCTATCGTATCATTATTTTTTCTCAACAATCAGTCTCGTTTTAAGTGTTTGGAGATTTTTCTTCCCCTTTCCAGATCCTCCCCCAAGATTGAAAGAAGATGGAAACAAAAAAAATAATCTAATTCCTCCTCCATTCCTCACTGCTAAATAAATTCAAAGCCCAAAGAAATCTCCCTTGAGTCCCTGATAAAATGAATTTGAATTCATCCACTGAGTTATTCTTTTCCTGTTTTCCTCTTTACTTTCTTCAACTGGCCTTAGTCACAAAAAAAAAAAAAAAAAAAAAAAAAAGAAAAACCC